GCACTTTGTCATGTGATTGATTATGTGGTGGGGGCTTACCTGGGCCCCCCACAATATTTTATTCAAGTCGGTACCCCTGGCAGCAATCCAATGGAACATTTGCTTGGAAGCTGTACGCCAGCTCCTTCAGCCAGTAAAGCGAGAAGAGTGCCACAACCCCAGAGTCATCCACAACTGGACCTAATGGTCAGGGGTCCCTTTACCTTTTACATATACATTGCAAGGGGTAGACCTGATGACTCTCTACAATTTTAAGTTTCTATACTGTAGGTCTACTTCTCAAACTGTGGAGGTTTGGGCTGAAAAGTGGATGGGAGACCGCCCAACAGCAATATCCCTGCTGCTTTCATCTCTTTGCAGGACAAGCAGCGTATTTGGTGTAACAAACATATTAGGTCACCCATTTCACAGACAGAGAACTGAGGCCAGGAATATAGGTGGGAGTTAGACCTCAACATTCGAAAGGTGAGTACCACAGATGATTCTTGAGCATAATTTTTTCCCCCTACAACACCACACTGAAGAACAAGTGTGAGATTCTAGGAAAGCTCTCTTTTTCATTAGTGACAGGGACAATAAATTGAAAAATAAAGATGAAACGCTTAAAGCATCATTACAGATCAATGATAGGGAAAGTGAAAGAAGCCGAGGTAGCAAGCCTATACATGCTTACCTGGGAGTATAACCGTTTGAGCTTAATAGGGCTAAACTTTTTATAGGATTGCATTGCACAATTTCTAAAGAAATTTGCAACTGGCTGCCGCATAATCCAAGTTCATTAGCGATGGAAAGGACATTCCTAACCCAAGCTCAATGTTCGTTTCAGTGCTGAGGTTTCACCCTCCATTAACCGAAATGTAGGAGACAATTTTTAAACACAAAGCCATTCATTTTAAAGAATGATTAAACATCTCTCTATTACTCCCGGGGAGGAATGTCTGCAGATATTGCACAACTGTCATTTCCTAGATAGGAAATGTTGCAGAACAGGTATGTTTGACATTTTGAGAGGAGAAAAAGTCCAATTACAGACACGTCAGTCTGGACACTTGCAGACATGTACACCGTAAAAGCAGAAAGGCACCCTGAACTTAACTGGATTTTAACTGTGTATTTTAACAGGTTTTCAAGAGGAGGATTTCGGAGAATATAAAATGTGATTGTGTTTAATCAAAATATATTCTGCTGGATCTTCAAAACAGAAACTAACCAAGTTACAATGTGTGGCAAAACATGACAGGCAACCCCCACAAAAAGAGGGATGGGATTTAAAAAGTGAAAACAATCCAGTTATCCCTCCCCCTTGTGAGCCTTGTAAGGAACTTTAAAATGATTTCAGAGTCTAAAAAAATATTTCTAATATAATGTAATAGAAGGCAACATTTTACAGATTAACAACAACAGCATAGCCCTACTGATATTAATGGACCTAAATTAGTCGTGCTCATCAGTTTCAATGTGTCTAGTTAGAGAACAGCTAACATAGGACCAAACCTATCTGCAAACTCAGGGGAGAGAGTACAAAAAACCAGAACCGTCTGCCAATAAAGGTACGTGTGAGAAATAGATTACTTGTTCCCAAAATAAAAAGTAAGCCTTACTAAAACACTAGACTGATGGTGTGATCCACAAGCCAGTTAATCTCACCAAAGTCACCATGACTAGCAGACAGCCTGACTTATTTACTCTAAGGCTGCAAGCCTATACCTTGGAGTAAAAGCCCCACTGAACTTAATGGGGCTGACTTCTGAGCAGACATGAAGAGGAGAACATTAAGCTCAATGGGATTTACGAGCAGCACAAAATTGCAGCTGAACCATGCAGCACCAAACACAGTTCTTACCTATCTGTAAGCCCCATTGAACCTATTGGAATTTAAACACCAAAGGAGAAAACATGCATAGGGGGCGGGCATGGGCATAGCCAAGATGGGCTGCCCCCTAACAAAAATCCTGGCTACACCCCTGGGGACAGGTTACACAGTGCGCTTCCTTGCGAATAAGACCCAATGCACATAGTGCAACTTACTTCTGAGTCAACATGCCTATAGGCTTGTTGGGTGTTTAATCCCAGGTCTACCCCAATCCCATACAAATTCAGGGGTGGCGTCCTCAGATTTAAGAGCTGGAGTGATGTTGGTAAGTGTAGCTGGATCTTCAATACTTCCCAGAGACCAGCCTTTCTCAGTCTTGGGTACCCAGATGTTGTTGGACTACAACTCCCATCATCTTGCTAACTAGGGATGATGGGAGTCGGTGTCCAGCAACATCTGGGGTCCTAAGGTTGAGAAAGGCTGCAGTAGACTATTTCCCCTACCCTACCCTGTCTTATTTCTGGTACCTGAACTCAGAGCCCCTCTGGCTGGGAAAATCAGCTCTCCTCCATTTCACCTGCCTTTATACAGCAACGCGGGTGGCGCTGTGGGTTAAACCACAAAGCCTAGGACTTGCCGATCAGAAGGTCGACGGTTCAAATCCCCGTGACGGGGTGAGCTCCCATTGCTCAATCCCTGCTCCTGCCAACCTAGCAGTTCGAAAGCACGTCAAAGTGCAAGTAGATAAATAGGTACCGCTCCAGCGGGAAAGTAAATGGCGTTTCCGTGTGCTGCTCTGGTTCACCAGAAGCGGCTTAGTCATTCTGGCCACATGACCCGGAAACTGTACGCTGGCTCCCTTGACCAATAAAGCGAGATGAGCGCTGCAACCCCAGAATCGGTCACAACTGGACCTAATGGTCAGGGGTCTCTTTACCTTTTTAAGTTCAATGCATCTTCTGAGCCTTAAGCTGCAACCTCATCGTGCACACTTTCTGGGTAGTCCCACTGAACCCAGTAACATTGCAATTTCAAACAGACACACGTAAGACTGAGCACCAGAACTGGTTTGCAAATCCTCACACACTGCTAGTTCTGGATTTTGCCTGTGCAGAGCCACACACAACTCAATCCAAGCGCCCTGAGTTTGTGGGCTTGCATTACAAGTCAGCTGTGGATGCTTCTCCTTTTTGCAAATATCACTGTCCAACATCTCAGATAGCCAATATGATGAAGTCTAGGCTTTGCCAACCTGCTGCCCTCTGGATATTTTGCAGCCTGGCAAAGACTGGGACAGAGGCTAGAAGACTGGACAGGAAACATCGTGGGTTCATTTATTGTATCTTCTGTTTTATGCTCACAACAGCCCTGGCAAGGCAGGTCATGGTCAAGATAAAGCCAGGGTTACAACATCACCCATGAACTTCCCAGCAGAGCATGATTTGAACCAGCGTCTCTCCTGTCCTGGCCTAACAATTTAACCAACACACCATGTCCTCTGCGTAACTTGAGCCCAGCCAATTGCAGGGTTGTTGTAAAATAAAATAACCCCAGTGACATACACTAGCCTGATGACCTTGAAGGATGGAATGCACTTTTTTTGTTTTAAAAAAATGTAATTTAGGAAATAAAGCAGAAACTGATGCACACAGTCAAATATTCCAGCTTCTCAATCACGGCATCATCAACAAAAGTTGCCATTTCTCCCTGTTACAGAGGCTGCAGATTTTCTGACAAATTTCCAGCTGACTGTTACAAACAAAGTGGGCTGTCCCAGACTCAGGGGTTTTTGGAACACCGTCTGCAGCCCCAAAGGGCACTTGAACCCTGTTTAATAGGGAACACAAGCATACAAAACTTTGCGAATTGCACCCCACTAATGAATAAACCAGTCACAGAATATTGACAGGCGTAAAGTTGCCAAACATCAGGATAGCTTTAAGAAGTCCTCATAAATGAAACAGGTGTCCCCCCCAATTTCTTTTCATTCTTTTCTCTTCTTCAGTTTCAGAAAAATATAGATCTACTGCACATCAATAAACCTGTTCAGTGTGTTGCCAAGAGTTTTGCATCCAAACACAAAATTTCCATTCAGTAGAGGAAAATTTAGACGCTGAAGTAGAGGCAAAAGGTGGAACAAATTATTCTCTGGGGAGGTGGGAGCCCCTCAAGCTAAGAGCGGGCTAACAACACACACACACACACACACACACACACACACAGGCTCCAAACCAAAAATTTCCACTCTGCCTCACCACCCACTCAGATCGGGGCAGCAAAGGAGGAAAAGGCAAAGTTGGTCTTTCCTGCATTTTTGTCCAACGTTAAGAAGGCTGCCTTTATTTATGTTTCCTTATTTCACCACCTTCATCCTGATGTGTTCCCCCCATCCCATTTAAGCACAAGGCCCTGAAACCAAAAACCCTATTTACAACCATTGTTTGAATCGGAAACAGAGGCGGGACATGAACGCTGCCATTCAAGCAATCACTCTAAAAACTCAAACAAATTCCGTGGGGGGGGAGGAGTGGGGAAGAGAGCGGACCCATTTGGTTTCCAGTGTAGAGATTAACACCCCCCCCAAAAAAAAACCCAGTCCCTCTAAAACCAAAGGAAAGTCGATTTAAATATCAAAGCAGCCGAAACACAGGAGACAAAGGACACCCTCCCAGGAGCCTTTTAACGGAAGTAACACTTTTTCTCCATCAGTGGTTCGTTGCTGATTTTTTGGAGGGTAGGGAACAGTTATTTTGAACTTCAGCCCTTCCTCGACTTGCTTGAGAGTATTATGGGTTGCCCCACGGCCAACCATTTGGAAAGCGACATGATGCAACGGGAGGCAACGGGGGCGGGGGAGAGGAGCCCGAGCGGTGGCGGGACAGCCTGGTGGGGGCGGGGAGCAGTAGTAGGCACGGCACGGCGTTGCAGCGCGCTCCCTCCCACGTCGCCTTGCCGGCTTCAGCCACACGGGGGAGCCGCTGCCAACCGGCTTTCTCCGGAGGGGTCTAGCGGTCCGGCGCGCGCGCCCGCTCGCTATGGAAGCCCCCCGCCCCCGATCGCCTGCTTGGACGCCAGGAAGGCGCGGGGATCTGGGGGATCCGGGGATCCGTGAGGCGCGAGGGATTCCCGGGCAGAGGCCCGGGGAAAGAAAAAAAGGGAGAGAGTTGGAGAGGCACCGCGCGCTCACCTTTCCGCCGCCGGACTCCATGGCGTTGCGCCGTGCGCCCTCGTCGTGCGCTCCGTCTCTCCAAGTGCCCGTCGAGCTCCGCCGCGCTGCTGCTGCTTCTGGGCTCCTCGGTGCTGGCTACTTCCAAGCCTGGCTGGCTAGCGGGGTTGGCTGGCTGGCTGCACGCTCCTTCGCTCGCTCTCGGCGTCGCCGTCCCCGCCAAGCTTCTTTTCCGTGGTGCGGCTCTCCAAAGTGGCCGCGCGTCGTGCCTCGCCTCCTTCTCCTTGTCCCGGCCCGGCGCGTGGAAGCTGCTTAAGTGACGGCGTGTGTGTCACGCAGGCCCGCCGCGGATTGGCCGGCCCGGCCGGGAGGTGTGTCGGGGGTGTGTGGCGCCGCTTCCCGAGGAAGCGGAGCCGAGATGGGGCGGGGGGCGCCTCCCGCGTCCTGCGTGAGAAACTGCAAGGCAGAGATGGCGAGGGAGCCGGACGCAAAGGAAAGCGGCGGGGGCGCGCGCTCCGGAGGCTCCTCTGGCCCGCGCAGCTCCTAAAAGAGAGCAGGCGAGGCGAGGGGCAAGGAGAGAGGAAAGCACAGAGATATATACTGTATATTTAAAGCACATTTTAAGGAAAACACTTGTTTTTAAAGCACTTTTTTTTAAAAAGCACATTTTTACTTTAATTAAAAATCCCACATGCGCGCCTAAGAGAGAACATCGTCGACATGACGTTGTTGCTTTACTGGTTTTAGGCAGAGTTTCGCTTTAAACGGTCCAGTTATTTTCAGACCCTGTGCCGCGTAGAGGATTTTGTTTTCTTTCAGAAATATTGAGCGTTATATAAGCAGTGGAACTATTAAGCGTTGCGCCTTCGCATTTGTCTGCCGCTTACATAACGCTTGATATTTACTATGGTGCACGTTATTTACCGTTTGTTTGTTTGTTTGTTTGTTTCGTTCTTTTTTTAAAAAAAAAGCATATCGTGTTTATTTGGTCGTACGACTTTTAAAACTGCCACTCCTGGGATTCTATTGATTTTTTTTTACAGTTGTAGTCTCAAAAATAAACATATATTTGATCGATCTTTTATACATACTGTATATAGTTTTAAATCTAATTATAGTGTTCACTTGCTTTTTAATGAGTGTCTGGGGAAAAGATGGGATATTAATATATTATTTAAAGAAGCTGTTTTTGTTAGTTGCTTAATGCACATTTTAGCATATACTGTATCTCTCTATCATCACAGGTTCAGCAAGCCAACTTTCTTTTCTGTTTTTATAAAATTATGTTGCCAAGGTCAAGATTCTATTGTATGAAAATACAGACTGTATCCAATGCTAGTCCTACCCAGAGTAGAACAACTGAAATTAATAGCACATTCATACCAACTGGTCTACTCTGAGTAGGACTTGATGCAGCCTTGCCTATGCATAGCTGTCAACTTTCAGATTTGAAAATAAGGGATCAGCAGCCTCACCTGTCCTGGAGACAGTCTACGGGATAGCAGCGGGAAGCAACGGGAAATGGCGCTGAAATAAGACAATTTCCCACAAAAAAGGGAAGGTTGACAGCTATGTGTCTATGCATATTATATTGTACATACAAACAGTACAATAAACAAAAGAAATGAAAGAAGCAATTAACAATATAATTAAAGATGCCGTGGACCTCTTGGACCATGGGTGGGTCTAACCCCTTTATCCCCTCAAGGGATAAAAGCAGGGAGGGATTTTGCCTAGTAAATGGTATATAAATATTGATGATGATGATGATACTCAGGAATGTTGCTGGTGGGTGGGAGAGAATTCTGGAGTTACAATCTGATACTGCATGAACTTTCTTTGTTAGTTCATCCCTGCCTGCTGTATCTGTACTGGAGTTGTTTCAAGGATGCTTTTATTGTCTAATTCAGTGGTTCCCAATTAGCTTAATTAGTCAGGACCCTCTTTTTCAAAAGCCAAAACACGGACCCCCTACTTTTGAAAATTTTGATAACTCTACAGTAGTTAGCTCCGCAAAGCAATTTTTGGAATAAAATGTGGGGTGTCCCTAATAAGCAAAGGATTTTAGGTATACTTTTTTAAAAAACAGACCCTAAAAATTGTGATATTACAATGCAAAATGACAAAAACTTAATTGAGGGGGAGGCAGGGGATGGGGCCTTGGAACCCCAGGGGTCCACAGACCTCTAATTGGGAACCATGGGTCTAATTCCTTGTCAATTGCTGCCCTGGGCTACTTTGGGAGGAAATGAATACCAGTTGCTGGAAGCCACAAGAAGGGAGAAGGTTCTTGTGCTCGAAACCTGCTTGCTGGTTTCCCTTTGGGGCATCTGGTAGGCCACTGGGAGAAGAGGATGCTGGACTAGATGGGCCATTGGTCTGATCCAGCAGGCTCTTCTTATGTTCTTATGGCAGAAGAATTGCATGCTGCAGTATTACCAACAAGAATAATAATTCAGGGGGGTCAGCTGGCACAGCTTGGGCAAATTGGGGCTGAAGAACCCTTTGCATCCTGAGGGCCACATTCCCTTCTGAGGGCAGTATTATAGCAGTGGGCGGGGCCAGAGGCAAAAAGTGGGTGGAGCCATGAACAGCAATCTTACCTTTGTTCCTAGGAGAGTTTCTACGCAAACTCACACACCCCTCTCTGTCTTCCACCTGGGAAAGCAAGAAGCAGCTTTGGAGTTCAAGGACACATTTCCAGACAGGCAAAAGCAGAAGGTGCAAAGCAGGCCATTGAAGGGTGCAGCCTGGATAAAGTTCTGGGATAAGGCTACCAGATTTTTTTCAATGAATCCGGGGACGCTTTTCAACTTCAATGGATTTTGTATGGAGACTGATTTGTAAATCAGGGAAACAGGGATGTCTGGTAACCTTATTCTGGGAGCCAGATGGAGATGCATGGGGGGGCGCCTTTGTCCAAATGCCCCCAACCCTTGCAGCAGCAGCTTTTTACTATCTTGCTCAGAGTGCAACCAACCAACCCCCTTGTCTTGAGCCAGGAAGGCCTTTTTTTCTAACATCAAGTGTCTGATGACATTAAGACGTTCAACTCGTTTTTCAACTTCCTTGGCAGGACTCGCAGAGCCTCCTGAGCTGTCCAGGGATGATATGCAAAGTTTATCCACGCCTGGCGCGGCGGCTCCTGCCTCCTCCCATTGTGGCGGCCTCTGGGCTGCACGCGAAAAAACCAAACACAGTGGGGCTTGCTTGCTGTCCTTAAACATAGCAAGTAGGTATGCGTAGAATATCTCAGTGCAACCCACAATTCGGGGTCTCAAAGGTTCTAGCATCATAACAAATGAGAAGGGAGTGGGTGGGGGGAGGAAGGAAGAAGGAAAACAAATATATAAATGAATAAATTTGCAAATCCAAATGCATCCTCTAAGATGCATCCCAAGACATGGGGAAATAAAACCTCTTTTTATAAAATGGCCTTGAAGATTCCTAATGCAAAAAGATTGGAAATCTAGATATAACTGATTGTATGAGCCGTGGCTACTTTTTTTATTAGATGGTACTCTTATTTTTATTAGGTGTTTTTTGTGATTGCGTTTTGTTCGCAATTGTAAGTTTTTAAAATGGTTTTCGAAGTTCCATTTTTAAATTGTTTCCCTGGGAAGGGGGAGGGGGGGTGTAAGAATAATAATAGTAATCATAATCATGTCAGGTCAGCTCACACAGGACATGAAGCCAAACCTGGGAGTTGCAGCCAGTCATAGCTCCTTATTTTAAAACAAACCCTTTGACCAAATTAGGGTTTACCTGATGAGTATTGGCCCTGATCAGATGCATAGGATGGTTAGAAAGTCATTCAATGTCAAGAGAGGAACCAGCAATAAGAGACAAGATTTTGCAACTGCTCACACCGTGTGTTCATGCTTGTGTTTGTCTGGTGAGCTTCAACAAACATGACATGGACTTGATTTCTGGAGCAAAGTTCACACACGCACAGTCATGGCAGAGGTGCAGAGGGGGTCAGTTTGGCACGGATGCGTGATTCTAAGTGAATGTAAGGTACCCACTTGCCCTGAATCAAGGTTTCCTGCACGCATTGCAAGCATGTGTCTTCTGTGGAATTTATCAGAAGAGGGAGGGACAGAAATGAATCACCAGCAATCATATATTCTATTAATAGGCCTATTTCTTCAAATGCCACCTGTGCACAAATTGGGGGGGGGGAATAGGTGCCTGCAGCTTTGTATGTGTGGAGGGGGCGGGGTGCACTTAAGTGGGAAGAAGAACACAGAAACATTGGGATTAAAACTCCAAAAAACCTAATGACCACTGGTTGACTGTTGCTGGAAGGGGATAGTGATGGAAAAATCACTGAGGAAGGTGAATGGAATGGAGTATTCATGAAAAGGGCATGGCTGGCTGGCTGGCCGGCCAGAACCCTACAAAGGAGCACTCCATGACATTGCAACATTCCTTTGCAGATCCTGCCAGTTGTAACTGTCTAATGTCGCATGGGAAAGGTTTTAATTTGACGTATGAACCAAGGATAACTCCCCTACAGAGATCATTAGGGTGGAAACGGCACCGTTCCACCTGTCCAGATCTACCAGAAAGCATCTTCTGGTTTTTTTGTCCCGTTTGCTAGCAAATCATTGTCCCGGTTTGCTGTCTCATGGAATGCTGTGCATACATGTGTGTGAGCGGCATGTCTTGCCGCCACCCCCCCCTCTAGGGTTAAGCTCTCTTCCTCTTTCCTAGGAACTAAATCTCTGAGGTGGGGAACGGATGTATCTACTCCCTAGCGCACATGTGGACGTGCATGAACACAAGAGCACCCATGCATGCCGTGACGGTCCTGCTTTTTAACACCCTGCAGCTGCTGCAGAGTATTCTGAACCACTGATCAATTAACATAGGAGATTTTCATTCTCCTATGGGATCATGCCAAAGGGAGCCCATTGACTCCAGCATCCTCTTCTCCCAGTGGCCAACCAGATGCCTTTGGGAAATCCACAAGCAAGACTGGAGGGCAAGAGCACTCTCCCCTCCTATGGTTTCCACAAGAACGTAAGACGAGCCTGCTGGACCAAGCCAATGGCCCATCTAGTCCAGCATTCATTGAAGGTTTTAAAACAGAGATTGGATGGCCATCTGTCAAATAGACTTTAGCTCTGATTTCTGCATTGCAGGGGGTTAGACTAGATGACCCTTGGGGTCCCTTCCAACTCCACAATTCTAGGATTCCCACATTTCCCACGAAGCTTTTGGTTAAACACCCTGGGAGACAGTGACACTGGGAGATGCAATCCCGGGTGGCATTCACAGGGCAGTTTACAGTGGTACCTTGGGTTACAGACACTTCAGGTTACAGACACTTCAGGTAACGGACTCCGCTAACCCATAAATAGTACCTCAGGTTAAGAACTTTGCTTCAGGATGAGAACAGAAATTGCACGGCGGCAGCGGGAGGC